GGCAGAAGTAAGGGGTAACAACTGGTTTGACTTTAAAAAACTATATAATTAGAAACACGGGGAAGATATGCTTTGGTCCTTCAAAGTATTAAGACAACGAGATAGCTATTTATAAATTTTAAGTAAAATCATACTAAAAAATATACAGTATATGATTTTGTTTGGGTGCTAGCCGCGCAATTGCGTGGGCCACCCAGCTAGTTTATTATAAGACGAAGATAAGATGCCATGAGGAGAGGATATTGTCAAACCATTAACCATGGCATGATATACTAAAACAAATATTACTCCACGTACGTAGTAGTACCACCCAAGGACAATTGGTAATGCAAGAAGCTAATGACCTGTCCTTGGCGCATGCATATATACACAGTAATTATAATTGTACCTACGTGGCTCCACGTCAGCTAGCTACCAGTGGGCTGGGGGGACGAACAACGTACGTGTGGTGTGGATAAACTCATGCATATGGAAGCAAAACAAATGGATCGATCGGCTTTAATTTGTTCTTCACATACTGTACTAAAGTCGATGACGACACATGCATCCAGTAGTACATGGATTTATGTTGAGCCGTCCAGGTGTCAACTGCGCATTGCCGCCAATGATATGTGCACCGATATGATGGTTCCGTCTTGGCGGCTTGTGCGCGTGGCACGCTTTCGACTCTTTCTTCTTTTGTTAGGCCGACCGGTGGGCCCCACCTACCTCGTGGAAACCACCTGCATCGTCACTCCATTGGCTCTACCCTCGCTTACACTGACGACAATTTGGTTGACGATTAATTAAAGGGTTAATTGAATCCATGCTACTTCAATTTTGCCGATTCATTAAATCTATGCCATTGTCGTCACGTTTGATATTATCATACAGACCTAAATATCTCTAGACATGAGATCCACATGTCAGTCATATCTTCTTTCTCCATCCTCCCATTTTTTCTCTTCTCTACCGGACGACACAACGCCTCTCTCTGCATCTCGTCCTCCTTATCTCGATCTCCCCACACCCCGTCCGCTAGAGACCAAGGCCTCGGCCTCTCTCTCCATTTCGTCCTCCTCCTCCCGATCTCATCGCGCTCCACTCACTTGCTAGAGACCAAGGCCTCAGCCTCGGCCTCAACCTTCAGGACCCGGGAAAATCAGATCTGGAGGATGAAAGGCGGAAGCATGCTGGCCGTCGGAGCTTTGGTGCCCCTTGCAACAAGAATCAGGATGACGGTGTTGATCAGGGAGCCACGAGCAAGGAGAAGGGCGGAGCTCCGGTGCCTCTTGAGACAAGTAACAGGATGGCCGACTAGGGAGCGATGAGCAAGGAGAAGTGCACTGGGGAGGGGGGATGGTAGTGGTGGTGGATTGTCATGGCCAAAGCTCCTTCGTGCGGTTTGCGGCACCTGGCGCACCAAATAAATTTACTATTTGCCATCTTTTCAAAATGCACATGCCCAACTCTCCCAAATGTTCACTTGATTTGCCACCCGGTCCCATATGTCAGCCTCCTTCCACGTTTGGACAAATGAGATGTGGGATCGGGTGATGAAGGAGGCTGACATGTGAGACCGGGTGGAAAATGAGAATGAAAATTATGGAGAGTGGCATTTGGGCTTGTGCATTTTGTGAGGATGGCAAATAGTAAATTCTCCCCCTGACGCGCCGATGCCAAGCAACAGGACGACGGTGTCGCCCAGGCGACACATCGTCTAGGCCTAAAAGGAACATCGTCTTGGCGACGAGTGCGATGACGGCTTCCATAACGAATGTTACCGCCGGCTGCATCCATGCCGGCCTGCTCGTGTCCTCCACTCACTGTTGCGCTCTCTTGCCGGTTGAGGAATGGGGATGGGACAGTGTGGTAGAGAAGATGATAGAAATCATGAAGGAGTGACATGGTTTAAATTTTATAAAATTCCAGTAACACTCAACCAATATTTCGAATTGTAATAGCACTTTTTTGAATTAGCAAAATTGTAATGGCATGGATCAAATTAACCCTTAATTAAAGCGCATGCATGCATCATATCATGATGTGTAGTACTCCATCCGATCCAAAATAACTCTATCTAGGATAGAATGTGATATATCCTAGAATAACAAATTTGGAGAAGTGTTGTCGAGATTTGTTATCCTATACGTTGTATTTTATCCAAGATTTAGTTATTTTTTTTCGGATGTAGGGTGTACTCTCTTCATAAGGTACCCTGCACCAAAGCCAAAACAAACAAATGAAGCACGCCTTGTCTTTGGTGTGTTTAGTTCACGCTAAAATTAGAAGTTTGGTTAAAATTGGAACGATGTGATGGAAAAATTGAAAGTTTGTATGTATAGGAAAATTTTGTTGTGATGTAAAAGTTGAAAGTTTAAAGAAAAATTTTGGAAATAAACTCGGCCTAAGACGACTACGAATGCTCCAAATTGACAAGATCATGATCGATGGACCGATATGGATGATCATGTTGTGCACATGCATGCAGCAAATTAATGCGGCATGTGCCATGGATATATAGAGCATAGACCAGCCGCCTGAAAAATGCACGTGAGTAACGTTGATAAAGTATGTCCCACGCGGCCGGAGCTAACTAGCTAGATGAGGTACACGTACGCGCGATGGACAACTTCAATACCAATACTGGTACTCCACTTAATTTGCAATTTTTTATATATATGCAAATAAGTTTATTTTTCATTCATCTAATACATACCGATATATTTTTGAAGAAACTCAAGTTTAAAACATATCGATCAATTAGGACTTAGGAGACAGAAAGTACAGCGTGTGGCTGCTCAAATGGACAGGTCATAAATCTAAATCTAACGGCCAGAAAGGAGTCAAAGAATTCGGCCCACGTGTGAGTGTGTACATTGCTGGCTGACGGCCCAAGTGACGAAATGTGTGAAAGGGACACACTCCTACATACGTACGTCGTAGTACCAAATTAATTAATAATGCATCTAATAATTTTACCGAGTGAATACTACTCCTACGTACCAGTATAATTCTTCCTTGTTTCATATTCACCACTGATGGTTATGTTCTACTAGTACAATTGACATTCTACCACTGGTGGCTGCCGATATATAAAAAAACAGGTTAGCGAGTTGGGATGAAAAAGGTTCGAAAATTTTTCTACTCTAGATGTTCACATTTGTACTTAGTATTGAGGTGGTTAGTTAAATGGACGTTTTTTTTTCAGTCAGGTGTTTTAGATCATTTTTCTTTTGCCTAATCGCTATTTTTTTTTGTTTTGTTACTACTTATAGTTACCAATTAAATAATTGTTGATTATTGTAGTTCTATCGGAGAGTGTAGTATACAATTATTTGTATTATTACCAATTGATGACAATCGATGAAAAGGTTCTATGTGCAGATTGGAATATTTGGAAGCATCGAAATGGCTATATTAATTTTTGATAATGTTGCACCCTCAGTTTTCTCTTGGATGACATTCTTTAAGAATGACTTATCCCTTCTTGTTTTTCGTTTAAGTTTAGATTAAATATCAGCGTTTATCTCCTGGATAAGTTAGTTGTAGTACCTCTTATTTTAACCTCCTTTTTATAATATATTTACTATGGGGGCTTCCTCATATATAGTGCTTTCCTAAAAAAAAGATGATAGATTTATTATTTTAAAAAAACAATAAGCTACATCTCTTTGTTGATTTGAGAAGGCCAGTTAGAATTGTTTTCATATTCCGATAAACATTGTTACCGTATTCGCTCTATTTTAGTATTCAATAATATTCGATTTTAAACCGTGGTTTTCAATTGTGAGAAGAAATGAAAACAAAAATGGTGGAGCTAGTTTTCTCTCTGTTTTTCGAGCTGTTTTCATTGCTACCAGTGATTATATATAAACTTAATTAATTTACTTACAAAATAATTACTAGTCGCAGGCACATCTGGGGACATATGACGTGCAAGGGCTCTAGGCGTCAAAGGGCTGGTACCTTTCTTCGTTGCCCGTGCGGATGGAACGGATTATCTACTACTGGAGTACTTGACTAAAACAAACATCAGATCCATATAGCTTTATATAGTTGGCCTTATTACACGTCACGATCTTGACACCCAGTTCAACAATCCTCTACTCATTTCTACCAAGAAATTCTAGCTTGTGATAAGTACCTATACCAATCCAGTTTGCATGCGTCCATTAGACTCTCCTGCAGTCAAAAGTTGTTCGTTCATATAGATCGATAGGGGCTATGTCAACTGTATATTATATACTAGTATATCATTAGCAAAAGTCGTACACAAAGCAAGTAAAGTCATAGGCCTTTTTTTGTCAGGCGCTATACAAATTAATTGAAATTAATGTTGAAGGGTCTTAAAATGTAACTGTACCGCATTCAGATGTGCACGCATATCCGTCCATGCATGCAAATATATCTATATTGACATCTTCGAATCGCACGTATAATAAGTTATTTATGATATCCATGCACGTACCTATTAATCATGTGACTCATTTTTGCACAAAATTACTACGATTCAAAAGTACTACATGGGTGCAAAGCGGTCGGTTTAACAAGAAACCTCTTTCTTATTAAAAAAAAAGAAAAACCTCTTTCTCAACCTACTAGACCAACTTAAATTTCTAGGCCTACTAAGCCCACTTAGATTCGTTATCCTATCAACTTATTGGGCCATTCTTTTCAGGATAGTTATTGGGCCTTAACGTTGGGCTTACCTTTTGTTATTGGCATTGCACAACATAGGGCTACCGGCCTCTTCTCTCTGTCGCCCCCAAGGACACGCCGTGTTTCGTCTTGTTCGATCGATCCATCATTCATATAGTATGCGTGCAATGCAAAGCTCTCCCATCGATATATCATGGATGCCTCTCTTTAGATGTTAGGATCTTGACGTGTTTATGCGCATAAATATGTATGTATATACTTATGATCGATGTATGGGACGGCTTATATATATAGTGGATTAATAGTTAGTTCATTTTAACTGGTTGATATGGATTCTTTCATTTGATCATTTCTCACGATTGGCAAACATCGTCATACATATATATATATATATGGCCACCGGCCTCCATGTAAATTAATAAGCTACCTCTATTATATTATTACTTAGCAACGGATATGCATGCATGTGTAAAATAAAATAAACCGGCACAACACATGCATCACACAACATAATATTAGTACATCATATCCTAGCTATCTCAATGGAAACTCATGTCTCTTGGTGCTTCTTTTTGGGTGAGACAGCCTCAATGGCGGTGCCCAATGGCCACGCCGCTTCGATGTAGTACTCTCCATGCTTCACCTTCTCTACCAGCGTCATCTCCTTCGTTGCCTCCAAACCTAAATATGTCATATATATGGTCCATTCATATAATTTGTCCATCAAATATTCAAATATACATATATGCATTATTTATAGATATGAGTTCAATTTGTTTAATTATATATACATACCAAAGCCATCGACAAGCAAGGTGTATTGGTAAACGAGGTCCATGCATAGATAAGCATGGTCACAAGCTCTGGGGTATGCTGCTTTCGCTTCTTCAACACTCAGACTGCAAACTTTTTCTGCAGCAACCTTGTATGCTGCTGGTGTGGACTTAGCACTAGGAGCCTCGCTATCGATGAACCCAATCTTTTTCCCCATCAATATATACATTGGACAAAATAATATCATCAGGTCGTAATATTCATATATAGAATTTAAATACAACCAATACCTGCTGTAGTCGACCCTGCTCATGCTGTTATGCAGATAAATTAATTAGCTGCTTAATTAATCACTTACATCCGAGGCCATGTAGTAGAAACTGGTCGCAACGTAGAGCTCGTCCTGCCCAGCGCCACCGCCGCCGTTCCACACTCCGTTGAAGCTGCAGTTGTTGGTTTCGCAAGGCGCGTCCAGGTTGAGTGCCTTCACCACGTCATCTCTACACTTGTGGTAGTCTGCCCCTTGTGGCGCTGCCGTTGCATCATACTGCTCCCCGTTATAGATGTACTTACCTTTAATATTCCAAGGATTGGCACAATTAAACCACTTGATTAATTATAATTACGCATTTCATATTATAAGGCACTTTAATTTTTTAGTCAAAATTTTTAAAAGTTCGACCAAATTTATATACAAATACAGTAATATTTATAGCACCAAATCAATTTTATTAAATCTAACATTGAATATATTTTGATAGTTTACTTATTTTATGTTAAAAATATTATTATATTTTTTTTATAAATTTAGTAAAAACTAAAGAAATTTGACTTAGAAAAAAATTAAAACGACTTATAATATAAAAGAGATGTATTTCATAAAACGGAGGTATTATATATGATGCATCTTGAAGAAAAGATGCGTAAACAAATCTCAAGGAACAAGCTAGTACCGCTAAATCCACGCAGCATGCAGTTGCTAAATGTCCCATTCTTCCTTTTTAGTATCTCCACGCGAGAAGCCCGAGCACCATAGTGCAAGTAACTGCAGATTGATGATTATTGATCTTAGCTAGTAACTACAGTGATAAAAAAGTATGCATAATTCCATCCCATAGTATCTCCAGTAAATTCAGATAAACAAAGCTTCAGTTATTCACCAGAGAACTGTTCAATAACGTAGCAGACTGAGGATTGATCTTAGTTAACTGAACTTTACACTCTTGAAAACCTTATTATTCAGCTGCTGGTAGTAGAGATTGAGATGCAAAATGAGATCGATCTTATAAAAAAATAAAAACGAATTAAGTTACTGACCTGTGCACATAAACATTGTAATCTCTTTCTTTGAGATACTCCTTTATAATATAAGGATCCTGCCCATCGAGCACTTCTGGAGCATTAGCAGCTGTGCCTGTTGAGATGGCATAGGCCATTTGCACGGATCCACCTCCGAGATCAATCACTCCTACAGTTTTGGAGTAGTCACCTCCTAATCTATCCAGCAAATAGTTAAGTGCAACCCACATGTAAGATCCTTCTTGAGATCCACTAAGAACATTAATCCAGTTTGGATTGTATTGGAACTTGGTCTTGGTGTGGACAACATCTCTAACCTGTATTATGAATCAAATTACTGTTAGTGATCTGAAGGTGTTTAATTTGTAATTTGTATGGTACGATTATTCTGAAAGTATACTTACCGCTTCAAGAATCTGGTTTGCCTTGTCATCTCCAATAAGTCTGAGTCCAGCAGTTGCCTACATGTTTGATTGGCAAGTTAAAAGGCTTTTTTTGGTGAGTAATATTTGTTTCAATTTTTCTATTTTAATTTGTTCTAGGAGGAAACATATTTTTACAACGTTACGGTAGGAAAATGGTTTCAACTCGAGTGATACTCCCTCCGTTCGCTCTTACAAGGCATGCATATTCTAACTCTAACTCTAGAAATGACTTTAAGACTAAATTTGACCATTAATTTCTGATAATATATATTCATGATAGGCATGAAACCAATATTATAGTAGTATATGAAAAGCTCTTTGAAATCCAGATCTAGTCTTATAAAACTGAACGGTGGAAGTATCCTAACTTATGGGTAAAGGATACAAGCAGGTTCATAATCCTAATGCCGAATCTAATATGCTCACGAGCGACATCATCAGATTTCATGTAATCCGTCAAAAAACTGATAAAAACCAATGAAATCTGGATAAATTTTATCAACAAAATAAAATTAACTTTAAACTTTTCAAAAAATTGATAAAAAAATCAAGTGGTTTGTGTTTATGACTTGGTCAACAAGTTCAGATTTCGCGAGAACTAAACCATATTTCGTTGAAATTGGGAACCCTGGATACAAGAGACTACTTCGTCACATGGTCCAATAATTTTTTCTTGTCTGTATTGATGTCGTTCTCAAGTAGTTGCACCGATCTCAAAACCAGAGGCCAACTTAAATATTTGATTAAAGTCATAAACGTCTACTATATCTATACTTTTTTTCATTATCTAAAAAAATATCTATAATTTTAGAAAAAAAACAATTTAATTGACATAGTTAAATTAGTGATGCACTAGGTTTTGTTAAATTAGATGGAGAGCAAATTAAATTTTGTTAAGTACGATACCCCAAGTTCAAGGGGAGTTTTATTCATAAGCCAGGTAGGAACAGCGTGGTTGGCCCTGTCAAGCAGAGGCATTATGGATTTTGCTGCCTCTTGCGGCCGCCCAGCGTACGAGCTCAGCCCGGGATCCACCTGCAACCAACACAAGAATTATGTTGGTATATCTTTAGTAATACTAGTAATTAAGTAGTATGAGGACAATAATTATCTTTAGCAGTCCATAAGTACTCTCTTCAATTGATAATACTTATCGTTTTGAATAAATGTGAGGCCAAATTTTAAAATTTTTATTACGAATAATTTTTAAAATGTTTATCTTATAAATATGAAAACTATATGTATAGATTACTTTAAAACAACGATTAAAGTTGTTTTTTAAGATCTACTGTATGTCTCTGTCCAAAACAACGCAATTATTATCAACTTGGAAGGACTAGATTAACCATAATTAGTAGTATAGTAGATTAGAGAGTGATTATTACCTTGGCAAAGACCTCGATGTCGTCGCCGATCTTGAGGAGGTCTATCTTCTTGTCGAACCTGAAGACGTGCACTCGTGTGCCCGTGCTTCCGGCGTCCAATATCACGGCGTACCTCCCCGGCCCCGTCGTTGCTTCTCCTTCCACGGCATCATCGTCAGTCATGGCGCCGCCCTTCCGGCCGAGCACCGCCGTGTCGGCGACGGCCGGCGACGACGCCATCAGGAGAAGCATGGCTGCTACAATGCCCATGACGTGATGAAACGCCATTGCTAGCAATAATTCTTAATTACTACCTAGCTTAGCTAGCTAGCTGCCCAAGTGCAAAGTGCAAGGAGCCCGATCAAGAGAGGATGGGTTTTAAAGCGGCGGATCAATTAATGGCCGGGTTTATCAAATGGCACCTGACAAAGAGTTTACTATGCAATTTAGTCCCTGCAATAATTAATGGATCGAGTGGCTTATAGCAGTCCAAACACTAGTATTAATTATTAGGGGCATTTGCAAATTTATCACCGGTTTTTTTAATATTGCAAGGATATCACTCGAATGATAGTTTTAGTGGTATTTTTGTAATTTTCTAGTGGCAGTTTCGCAATAACGATTTAAAGTAGTGGTAAATTTATAATTGTCCCTAATTATTTGTGTCTGTCATGGAGTGGGAGTTCCTATCAATGTGAAACTGCTGTCACATAAAATACTCCATAAATGATCATATCATATAATTTCATTTCATAGTCAGTATTACATTTTTTTTTCTAAAATCAGTATGAACACAGACATTGATAGCACGTGTATATTCACTCTTATAAAAACAAACATAAACACCTTACTCTTATACATGAGTACCTTGAAAAAATTATTAGTCATAAATACGAGTATTCTTATCAAGACTAGAACTTGAACCCTGTGGGTTGGTTTTATCACAAGAAATTTAAACGGTTAATCTATGCTCACTTCGCTAGGTAGGACAATTTTTTCAGGCTTTAATTATATATCGATCGATTAGCAAATTGATTCTTTGGTGAAAAAATTGAGTGCCAAGCGTGAGACGCGCGCGATGTAGACGTTTAGCTTATAATAATATTGCAATTTGGACAGACTGACTGCGTCTTTAGTTAGTAGTTAATTAGTCTCTTACCATGGATGATTGGAGTGGAACAATCGTACGTGTTTATAATACTGCAGCCCAAATGCCGAATCCTTTTGATGTGGTCGCCTGACGTATGCGATCAGCAAGCATTTTCACTCTTCCATGACCGGAGAGGGACCGAGTAGAAACTGCAAACCTAGCGGACGTTTTCTTTTCCTTTTAATAATGGAAGAAATGCACTGATTAGTGATTTATAAGCTAAAAAATATACGCGTTCCTGTGGAGATTATGGGTAACCCATACCCACACGGCATGGTTATCCGACTAGTTATAGGGGATAACTTATATATATGGAATATGTAACAGATTATGACTTGGGTATTACGTTTTCTTGTATATTACGGAACGGCCTAAAGTCCTGGTTTGATAAGATTGTAAAATAGATTTAGGAAACCGATACCGTATTGGATAAGGTTTATATCTTGTAATCCTGCCCCCCATCCTATATAAGGTGGGCAGGAGGCCCTCTAGGGGGCATGAGACAACTAGATCGTCAGATCTATAATACACCCAGCGGACTCAAATCCCCAAATAGGAGTAGGGTATTACCTCTCATTGAGAGGGCCTAAACCTGTCTAAATCCTTGTCTCCGCATCCATCCACTTTTAGGTCTCGTGCGCTACCCCTTTTCATATTGCCGAAAATTTGTTTCGACAGTTGGCGCGCCAGGTAGGGGTGTGTCGAGTTTCCCGTCGACGAGTGCGATGGAAAATCTCCGGCGTCGCCGGATTCGTCAAGCATGTTCTTTTTGTCTCGGATTCAGTCCAGCCAAAGGGATTAGTCTCGGCGATTTCATCGATTTAATCTTTAATATCACTGGCTTTGCCGTTTCAGTAGTCAGATTGTTTTCTAACGGCAGATTAATTTCCTGTTATTCTCTTGATTTTGCATGCCGACTGAGATCAAGATCAATGGCTGTCATCTCGGTGTGTCTGCCCAATACCTCGGGATCCCCAATGCACCATGTACAGATGCCGATGTAATCCGACACGGGAGTGGCGCGGAACAATAGGCAGTGCTTACAGCTCGCACACGATCGAGATCGCCAGCCACTAGATCCACATGCATGTGTTGACCAATCGACATGCAAAATTTGATCATCCAGGACACCTCGCCGGAATCATGCATCAATTAATTCATCAAGCATGCTTTTATGTTCCAGACATACATACGCGGGCTTATATATATATATATATATATATATATATATATTTATGCTTGTGGTACTAATCAGATTAATCTGTTAATTGATCTATTTTGCATGTATCCGGACCGGTTAATTCTGCTGCTGTCTACTGGTGTCCTCGCCTACACGGTTGGTTGGTTACACCAACGTGGTTAGGCATTCATGTCTTCACCAACCGGCTGGACTTCGCCACTGCCGACTGGTGTTTCCGCCTGCACGGCCGGCTTATTATGCCGCCGTTGTCGGGTGTCTATGACTTCACCGCCGGCCTGCCTCCGTCGCCGCCGACTGGTGTTCTCGCCTATACGGTTGGCTGGTCACACCACCGTTCATGGGCATCAACGATTTCACCGCTGGCCTGCCTCCGTCGCCGCCGACTGGTGCCCCCGCCTATACGGTTGGCGGACTCCGCCGTCGTTGATGGGCCTCGTCATCTACACCGGCTTGCCTTCGCCACTACTGCCCGGTGTTTTCAATGCAATTGATGGATGACTTTGTTTCCACATCGGTCACCTCTATCGTCACCAAGGGGAATATTACAAAGCTAAGTCATCATTAATATTTTTCTTTATATGATATTTTTCTTTTCCTCTGCCTCACTACACCAATTGGTTTTCCATTGAGTAGTGAGTCGGGGGCTACAGATGTTATATCATATTTTTTTTCAATAATTTTTCATAATATTTATCTTGATTGCTTGCGACATATTCTGAGTACAAAAGTGCCTATCGAGTTATGGAGTTCCATCTTCCTATGCTTTCTGTTTGGTTTGCCAATGGATAGTTGCCTTTGGGCCGATTCCTAGCACCCGGGGGCTTGTTGGATGGACCGAATAACGCAAGGTGCTAAGTATTATTCGGAATAAATCAAAAGTATAGAGATAAGATAATTTATTTTCTGCTCTTAATAATTGCAAAAGTACCCGAGTAGTAAACTCCGACCCGTGAAACTTTGTTCCATTAATGACGAACTCATGTCACTCATATGCATGTTTGGGAAGTGCTTAGGCCGACTCCCGGTGCTTGGTGGCTATGACTAGTCGGGCAGAGTGTTTAAACGTAATGAGTCATCTGCTCGGGGAAATCAAAATTGACAAGAGAAGAAATACATATTTATAAATATTTTAAAATACTTGAATTTTTCTCGAGTATTATATTTATATCAGATACTACTCATCCTGTATGTTTATTCTGCAGGATCCAGATCCAGACATGCATAAAAGGGATTCATGGCTTTAAGCTTATCTCTTACGCTCCAGGAATGGATCAGTCAGAACATCACCACCGGCTTGCCTCGTTCGCCGCCGACTGGTGTTTCCGCCTGCACGGCTGGCCTATTATGTCACCGTTGTTGGGCGTCTACGTCTTCACCGACCGGCTGCCTTGTCCGCCGCCGACTGGTGTTTCCGCCTTCACCGACCGGCCGCCTCGTCCGCCGCCGACTGGTGTTTCCACCTGCACGGCTAGCCTTTTATGCCGCCGTTGTTGGGCGTCTACGTCTTCACCGACCGGCCGCCTCGTCCGCCGCCGACTGGTGTTTCCGCCTGTACGGCTGGCCTATTATGCCGCTGTTGTTGGGCGTCTACGTCTTCACCGACCGGCCGCCTCGTCCGCCGCCGACTGGTGTTTCCGCCTGCACGGCTGGCCTATTATACCGCTGTTGTTGGGCGTCTACGTCTTCACCAACTGGCCGCCTCATCCACCGCCGACTAGTGTTTCCGCCTGCACGGCTGGCCTATTATGTCACCGTTGTTGGGCGTCTACGTCTTCACCGACCGGCTGCCTCGTCTGCCGTCGACTGGTGTTTCCGCCTACACGGTTGCCCTATTATGCCGCCGTTGTTGGGCATCTACGTCTTCACCGACCGGCCGCCTCGTCCGCCGCCGACTGGTGTTTCCGCCTGCACGGCTGGCCCATTATGCCGCCGTTGTTGGGCGTCTACGTCTTCACCGACCGGCCGCCTCATCCGCCGCCGACTGGTGTCACCGCCTGCACGGCTGGCCCGTTATGATGCCAATTGATGCTATCTTCTTCACGGCTGGCTACATCGCCGTCACCGCTAATAGGCGTCAGCATCTTCAACACAAGCTGCCTACGTCTGCTGCCGACTGGTTTCTTCACTTCCATGGCTGCATGATTCTGCTAGTATTGATTGGCCTTATCGTCTTCATCGCCGGTCGTCTCGTCTGCTGCTGACTAGTGCCCTCGCCTCTACGTCTGGTTTATACAACTACCACTACTGATGGACATCATTGTCTTCCGTCGTCGACTGGTTATGCCGCCGCCGACTGGTGCTTTTATCTTCACAATTGTGCGTCTTCACTACCGGTTTGCTTCTGTTGCCGCCGACTCGTGTTCACTTCATCACGGCTATGCAACTTTGTCACCATGGTGGAGCAACTTCATTTTTATTATCTTCGGCATCGGCAAACTCTATTGCCTCTACTTCGCAAGCTTTGCTACTTCACCAACCATGACGACTACAAGAGTTTCGACACCTTGGCATACGTCACCAAATATGATGCCGTGTTATTTTATTACAACAAGTGGTGTTCCAATCTTCAATATTTATCTTCACTCAAGCAATGACTACTCGACGACAAGAAGTTACAGTTCTCGACTCTATGTTCAGTTGTTTCCCAACCAACCAAAGAGTCGGGGGCTACACAAATACAAGACTCTCAAAATTCGACAAGCTGAAGCAATCAATTAATTAGCCAACGAGTCAATTACAGGAGTCATTATCTTCGTCTTTGCTTTAGGGCAGAGTTATCAACCAATCAGCTCAGTTTCGACGAGTTGGACAACATCATCTACTTTCCTCCAAGTGAAGCATCTGTAACAGCTATAACACCAATTTGATGGATTATTGTCACTGACATTATCACCAGCACCTCTGCTTCATTGGCCCTGTCATCAACTCTGTTGCTAATGGATGACTATGTCTTCGCCGACTTATTATTTCACTTTCATGGTTGCTATCGACTGGATCACCGACATCGTTAT